GGGTGCTGTGTATAAAAACACACAAAAAAAAAATCTCTCTAAGCAGAAAAAAAAAAAATATATATATATATATATATATATATATATATATATATATATATATTTTTTTTTTTAAGGTTATATATTCACCATGTTATTCATACATTTAGCAGAACTTCGACTAAATATTTAATTCACAAGCTAACGGTTTAGTTTACAACCTGAATATTTAACCCGAAAGTAAATATTTTGCCAATTAAGCGTTTAATTTTCAAACTAAATGTGCTTGATAACTAAATATTTAGGATGCTAGCCAAATATTATTTGGACCTAAATATTTAGCTCGAAACTAAATATAGGTCCAAGCTAAATATTTAGCTAATATGCAAATTAGCTTGCAGATAAGCGGAAGTGGAATATCAAAATAAATGCTGAGTTTTTCTCACCTCTGGATGAACCCTGCTGCTAGTGAAGCTGAATTGCTTGGGTCGTTGCTTAAGTAATGTGTTGTTGTTGGTTTTTTATATTTATATATATAATCGATGTTTTTCTTATTGACACGTCCGACGCGATAGTTGAAAACACAGGACTTGCCGATTTCTATAGCAACAGTATCTGAATCTACTTCCGCCAATGCGATCCAGCTAGAACATTTCCGGTTCATGTTCGATTCACCGTTTAGATGTTGGATAACGTCAACATAAACGCGTTAGCGCAACGTTTAACGCAGTGAGAACAGTAAGAACTGTCAGCATAGTCTTCCATCCATCCTGGGCTGGTGCCTTTCTCCAGTAGTTTTGTGGTTGAGAAGGTCTCTGTCTTGAACCAGAAATTTAAGATTTAAGTTTCCACGCAGCTTTTAATAGGTGTCAGCTGTGATAAAACGAGTCTGAACCGGAAGTGATCCGCGCCATCTTAGTAGGTAAGCGCATGTGCTATTCATTGCAGACCTACGGTCGAGACCAACAAAAAGATAATATGTGGACATTCTTGACCATTATGCAAGGATAAGATACACGAACAAAATCGCTGCTGTCAGGAACGACCCATTATAGACGCAGAAGGAAAATATTTCATACAAGCTGCCTCCGATCTCCTACTGAACTTGAGGAGTGAGTGCACCATGTGACGTCACACTAATGACTAATGTTGAAAGACTATTTTAAGCTTATAGATTTTAAATGTAGAATAAGGTAGACGGCAATGAATGAATGTCAAACACACGCTATGCATGTATTAATGAGCTACTGATTATGCAGTTGTTTGTATTTCCATTAAATAAAATGTAAACGATAAATCTGGCTTCATTTAATTTACCTACCATTTAAATAACGTAAATAAATTTAAAGGTTTTTTTAGGCTTTTCTAATTGTAATTAATTAATCATCAAAATATTTCTAAAAATGTATGCAAATTGTTGCAGCAGTGTCAGTGGTTAAATTTTAGCAGTGCACAAAGAGGAAAATCTAATAAAATAAAATAAAAACACAAACATACACTGTTGTTGAACTATGTCTGATAGGTCTAACAATGTGAACCCAACCGTTTTTTCCTAAAGCTCAGCTGCAAGGACACCAGTCGAGTTACATGAGAAGGTTTTGTTAATAAATAATAAATGTGCAAGACTGGATTGGATTAAACGGCCAGAGTATTATTTACCTGACCACAAGGTGGCACTGTTTGCCTTGATTTGGTCTCAAGATTGCTTAGGGAAACGGAGCAGGTGTCGATTGTGAATCTAAAAAAAACTTATAAGTTTCAAAAATCTACAGTAATAGTCAAATATAGGTATTTTTGTTGACACATAAAAGTCATGGTGTCATGTTTTGTTGTTTTTTTTTTTTTCCTTTTAGTCCTTTTTAATTGTATTTTTTTTTATATGTTCATTTATTGGTGCTGTTTCTTTCCGTCATTTCATACTTTTAACATTTTGATAATTTTCTACCCCGCTTTTTCTTGCTTCTACTTGCAAGAGTTTGCTTCTACAAGCAGCTGGAGGCTGCTCAGAGGTTTTATGGTGGGTCCTAATGGGCTCCGTCAGTGAGACACTGTCGATTCATATGTCCACTTATTTGTTACCATTTCGTCCCATCCTCTTGCTGTTTCGTACCTATCGAACCATCTCGTACTTGCGCACTGAAATCATTGCTTATGAGTCGGGTTTTTTTGTTGTTGCAGCACTTCGTCGAGGTAAACGACACCAATAATCTCTCACAGACATTATTAGAAAAGCGATGTACATACGGTGTAGCTTTATATAAATTGTGTAGAATATAACAAAAATACGGTTAAGTAATACTTGACAACTGAGCATTTTCACGATTATATAAAATTTTATATAAAACAATCAGAAATACCTAACTATACTGTCAAATAAAACCACTTATGGTTTGGCAGATTAGGAGGAAATTAAGTTATTTACGGGTAGTAAACGGCAGCAGTATTGAAGATGTGGCAACACGTGGCTACAAAATGACTGAAAATATGCAAATTCACTCGGATGTGAAACGTCAGATGTACTTTGCGAAATTTATGGATGGATAAATATTTTGTTAAGCGTTAATTTCGACAGCTTTGCCCTTTTTATGTAGAGGCTGCGAAAATATTACATAATTTGTTGTACTCGCACAGGAAATAAATCCAATATGTTTTTGGGGGTTTTTTTACGCACTCGTGTGTCTAAAATTTGGACCTACACTCTTTCATTTGCCACGCAATCTTCAATTACGCACAAATCCCTCCATTTGCGCACAACTTGAACGCCCCTCCTCATAGGGTCCAACAATGACATCACATTTGCAATTCCCACGTAGAGTCCAGCCAGCCAGTGCGCTCCAGCTGAGCTCCACTACACCTCGCTGTTTCCAGATGCAAGGCGCAGAAACTTAAAGAAGCAGCTGAATGTGTGGATGACGAATTGTGACTTTCTGCGTGGGACTTTTGGCTTCAGAACTTGCTATTATGACACAATAATTTGTGAAGTGGGGTTCTTTTTCCCCCCTCAAGTTATCTAATCTGGGCCCTTTTTTAAAAAAAGCATTACTGTTAGAACTTTTATTGTAGCATCTATAGGATTGGACACATGGACTATTTTATCCTCATCCTGGGACAATGACTAACTGCTCTTGGAGTTATCTTTATGAAGGGAATTAGGCTGTTTCAGAAAGATAACATTGTACAGTTCTCAAGAGCAATGGAATTTTGTTTGCATATTCGACTTCTTACTGCTTTTGTCTTATGCTTTAAGGTAAGATAACAACTTCAAGCTTTCAGCTCATTTTCTGCATGTCAGACTTTATTAAACAGCAGATTCATCTTTTGCAGGTCTGTGCTCAGGTGGTGCCAAATGAGAATCATGCAGGTAGTGGCAAGTTTTCCATACGCACATTGTGCTGCGCTTTTGTTTGCTATCAGATCAACATATCAAATGACCACATCCTGGTTGGAATATATACAATAACTTGAGGAAACAATGTGCTCCAGTGTCTGTTTCTATGGAGGGATGTTATTTGTTTATGTCTCGTTAATCAGAATGGTCTGCCACATAAACAGCTTTTGCAGCTGTTTTGATTCATCATCATCAATCTCTTTATCCCACCGACGTCTGAAACTGGACGCTGGCGTAATAATAAACTCTGAGCAGTGTCCTTTAGGGACGCTTGTTTACCTGTGATCTTCTTGTCCAGGCCTGCAGGTGTTGGCCACGGCTTCACATTATTGGCCTCTTGATGCGGTGGACGGGATTCATGAGCTGCTGGACCAGATTGGAAGCAGTCCGCGTTATGTCAGCGGCAGCAAAATAAGTACGAGCATACATGGCCGCCGTGTTTGCATCCGGGTCCTTCCTAGAAAGCCCTTTTTTGTTCACTGTTCGCACTCCTGCCACGGTTATCCTGCCTGTTCAATCACATTCAGTGTCTTGCAGAAAGTATTCACGCCCCTTAAGCTTTGCCACATTCTGTCACTTTGCAATCAGACATTTCGTTCCCTGAGATTTGATGTGATAGGCCGCCAAAAGTTGCGTATGATTATTGTTTTTAGTTACTTTATAGAAATAAAACTGTGAACATTTGTATTCAGTCCGTAGCACCCTGCGGTTATTGCGATAGGTCTTTCGGGGTGTGTCTGTATGAACTTTACACACCTGTTATCTGAAATGTTTGCCTTTTATTTTCTTGCGCAAAATTGCTCAAGGTCAGTCAAGTCGATGGATATCATCTTAAAGAGAAAATGTGAACTTTTATTACAGACTACTCATTGGATTTAGATCAGACCTTTGACTTAACCACTCGAATAAGAAAAATATACTTTTATCTGAAATATTGTATTGTATATCTAAGACTATGTGTAGATTTGTACGGATAGCTACTTAGTCTCAAATTTTCTGCAACCTCCAAAAGATTTACTTCTAGTATCATCCTTATGTAGTCATATTTAATAAAGCTGGGCAGTATTGAGAAGTTAATTTATTTTAATAACTCCATTCACTAAGTGAAACACATTATATTGATTAGCTACACAGTGACTGATGCTTTCAGTTAAGCACGGTGATTTTCTCCTTGCACCTAATGAAAACACAATATTTAAGTTTTAGAGTATTGCTTCAGACCAATAAAAACATTGAGGTCTACAGATGTCATGTGACCAAATTTGAGAAGCCTAAAGGGTGTGAATACGTTTCCAAGCTACTCCATGACTTTAGTTGTACTGAGTTGTACTGAGTGAAACGCCATAAATGTTTAAGAGGGATCGGGTATGGATGCGAGCATGTTGTGTGGCATCACTCTGTGTTTACCTTCACCAGCATCACTCTGTTTCATACCTGTGCAGCACGTCCCTCCCGTTGTTCTCCTGTCACTGTTCTCTGGGTGGAAATTACGGTTTTTGTCTTCTTGTCTTTTTTGTCCAGCTGTCAGAATCCACAACCACACTGTGCTCCCTTCTTCCCATAACTCTTCCTATGTGTATACCAATGACTCTGCCTACACTAACATTTCCGCAATAGTAGGTGAGAATCCATCACTTTCCGCTCACACGGTCATTTGTGCATCACACACTGCAGCAAATCATTGCACACCTTTTGGTTCTTTGCTTGTTTGTCCTTGCAGCACAAGAGCGTAGCTTAACTGTATGATATAAATCCTGTAGCTTTGTCAATTGGTGTTGGTAGGAAGTCACTCATATTGGTTTCAAATTAAAAGTACACAGAAAAACATAGAAAACCATAATATATACATCAAACTCTTTAATTATCTCACAATTTTAAATCATGAAGCAAATGTGTTTCTGTAATTTATGTTTTGCTACAGACATTGTTGAAGGAGTACACAATAAGGGTATCTTTCTGGACTGTGATAACAGCGGCCTCTTTCTTTACTTTGGAGACTACCAGAACTCCTGCGTCAGTGATCTGAACCTCTGTGCTCTGGATGGTAGGTGCAGCGCATTTCATACGTTATGCTTTCAGTTCTGTCTGGAGGAATGGGCCAAAATTCTAGCAAACCTTAGTGAGAAGCGTATGAAAGGATGCCCAAAACATTTTCAAGTAAGACAATTTTACCGTGATGGTGGAAAAGCATGCTTAAAAACATTGTCTCTAATAGTTTTAGCAAATAATAACAATTTTGGTAATCCGAAAAGAACCAAAACTGAATAAGTTTGGTCTTCTTGTTAGAAAGTATATATATACATATATAAAAAAGTAAGTGTGTCTTTTTGAGCTGAATATAGCTCTCTGTGTTATACACCGTTGTAGGTTTTTGGAAAAATCTTTAATCTATTAAAACAATCTTTTTCTAGGTGTGACCTTCTCCTTTTTTTGGAAAAACCAAAAGCCAGATTCCAACTTTGCTGTGGCGTCTGGTGCGAAAGTCATCTCCAACAGCTTCACAGTCTTTGCAGACTCTCACAAGGGATGCGTGGAGCTTTACACGCAAGACGACAAACACAGATGGAGAGCAGAGATTCCCATTTCAGGTACAGCAAAAACAAATTTATAACATAATACTACTTGAGAAAACGATTCGTACACATCCATGTGAATTGTGTTCAATTTGATCAAATCTTTCACTACACAGATTTATTGTTCTCCTGGTTTTAACTGACACCATATGCTCTCACTGTTGACTTGGCAAGTCTGTTTGCCGTAGCAAAAAAAAAAGTGCATCTTATTCAATATGCAGCCATTTCATGTGTAAAGTGAAATAATGCCTGCCTCATGTGTAAAAATGCAAAATAACTTGACATGTTAGCAAAAATTTTAATTTGGCATAGAGAATTGTTCAACCAGATTATTTTGCCAATATAGTAGTCAAGATTGACTAAATCCTAACAACATAAGTTTGATTAGAATTCATCTGAAAGTGTTGGGTCAGTCATACTCATTGAAAGCTCCAAGGCTTTATGGAAATGATTTTTATGGGTTATATTAAGAGTAAACATACAGCATAAACTTGGTGTTAGTTAATATTGCCCTAAGACTTTTGCCTGAGATCATTTTTGAGTTGGTGCAGAAACATAGCTGAGCTTTTTACCTCCCTTACGTCAAAACCTTTATCCAGGCAACTAGAATTAACTCTGATTTTATGGCTGTGAGGAACTCCTGGCATTTTCCATCCGTGCTAACTCGATGGTAATAGGAGGGTTAGACCTGCGAAGTGTTGTCAATCAACAGAACATCTTAGCTGCGGTAACCAGGGAGAAAGGTTTACATGCGATCTTGTTAGGACAGATTTAAAAACTGTAATTCTATCGCAGTAACATTTTGTGCCTTAACCATAAATGTTTTTGCTCTGGCTGCTCAACGTTTCGTGAAGAGGCAAACTCAATCTGGGCTTGAATTTGCTGTTCCAGAAGATCAAAAGCTGCCTGATTCTCACAGAGTGTCATGCCAGATCTGTAGCACAGAATGTCCTAATCTGTCAGCTGTCCCTCCTCCACTTCACAAGTGTGAGGAAAACATTAAAAGGATGATTTAATGAACCCCCGGGCGGCATGTGAGCAACTTTCTTAATTAAAATTGAAAATGGAGCGGTATACTCGGAGGGAATTCTGAATGAGTTGAGAAGTGGTGGAAGTCTTGGCACATATGGTTTATATTGTAAGCAAAAAAGAAATGCATTGTGGTCTCCAGGCAGATGTGTTTTCACACAGTGAATGTATTGTCCTGTGGGACCTTCTTGTTGTTCATTTACAGTTGTGGTCAAAAGTGTACATACACT